AAAAAAAAAACAAAAAAAGAGTTCAGCACCCTAACCACACCACCACCTGCTGGGAGGTCGAGAAGGAAAGAAGGGAAGGGGGAGAAAAGAAGGGGTGCTGTAGGGTGGCTTCCACCCTCTGAGATTTCTCAGCCCACACCTCAGGCCCTCCGATCAAGAACTAGTAAGTGACGGCTGTCATTTTCATGTGACTTCACATAAAGCCTTGGGAGGACCGTTCAGAGAACACGGGGAAGGAGGGGAGGGCGCCAAGGCAAGCCGGCATCCCGGGCTGCTGGGACTCAGCGAGTTGAACTGACCTGTTTTTTGGCCTTATCAAGCCGTCCTCCTTACTGAGATGCTGCTGCTGGCTGGGCGCGGACGTGGACAGGGTCACACCTCAAAGCCACCGCTTCTGGAGCAGAGCTGGAGCAACCTACAAACACAAGAGGTACCTTTAAACGGGGGTTAAAGATCAGGAATGGTCCTAAACGTGTGCTTCCCTCTGCTCATCACACGCGGAGTCACAGATCAGGACAAGGAAACACCTCCCGTCGCTGGGTGACCTTGCAAGAAAGAGTCACAGATCAGGACAAGGAAACACCTCCCTGCTTGCCTTGCAAGCAGGCCCCGTGTACCCAGAGTGCACCGTCAGCACCTGAGCCAGAGGGGGACCTGAGCAGACAGGAGCCTCCCAAGAGTGGTCCTTAGTGCACTGAAGGCAAGCCCGCGTGGGAATGGCTGAGCATGGCTGCAGGCGGGCTCGGGCATCCCAATGGCCCACCCACAGAAGAGCTGCTAAACGCCTGGTTTAACAGAAGGTGTCAGGACGCAGTTGCGGGTGCTGCCTCTCGGTCTTTCTCACGGAAGGAAAAAAGAACTAAGAACAAAGGGAGGGAGGCAGAGGTCAGGGAGGAAGACTGATGGCCATAACCACACACTGCCTTCTAGGAAGGAGAGATTATTCTATCTTTGCCCTACTGCAGGGGGAAATGTCTCCAACACCCTTCAGACTGGACCAAACGCAGGCCTCTTCCTCTCTGCAGGGAGGATGGAGAGAAGGTCTCAAATTACACACGCTGCCCTTCCTGAGTTTGAGAAGGTCTGCTCTTCGGCATCCAGGACCTCCACACCCAGAGATGGGAGAAAGCTGCCTCAGGCCCTCGACAGTCAGAGAAAACGGGATGCAGCATTTCCCAGGGCCCGCAGCCTCCAGCCACATTCCCTTCTACTATAGGGCAAAGGGCAAAGCTGGGCGAGAACTCCAGAAGAAAGCCCGCTCGCATGGAGAACACCTGTTGAGAAGCTACTGCTTGACGCGCTCTTGTTTTAAGCCCCCTTCGAAGCGTCTGGAGGCAAACCGCCCAATCGTATCAAACAGCCATTCCTGAATCTCACTCCTTTTGTCCACAAGTAGTTCCTGACCCCCAGACTGCTGGGGTGAGAAAGCCCCACCAAGCAGCTCTATCAGAAGCCCCTGTGTCTCCTCCACCACTGCCAGAACCACGGTTCTCCTGCAAGCAACCCGAGATCACAGCAGGAGAAAGAAGGGAGTGGCCATCCCCCTGGGGGGTGATTTCTCATTTTCCCTCTCTCCGCCTTCCTCCAGCCAGTCCATGTACCCGATGGGAAAAAAAAAAAAAAAACAAAAAAAAACGTGAAAACAAAAACGTCTTCCTTTTACATCTAACTGCCTTAATTCTCCGTTTTATTCTTGGTGTCTTTCTCTTTGGACAAATTCTTTCGATTTCAAACGAAGTAGCAGGAAACAAGGGAGTAACTCAGGGACAACCCTCTAATGAGAAATGGAGCCCCTAAGCCTAGGGACGTCTTTATCACTACTCAAATAGTCTTGGGACAGAACCCACCCTGAGAATGTAAGTAGCTGATGAAGTCGGCGGACCTGCCCACAGAAAAATGCACGTCACCTACACTCAGCATTTTTTTCAGTAGTAGCAAGGTCAGGGACGCCAGAAATTCACCTAGAAATACAGGATAAGAATCCTTGTGTTTTTGCCATAGGGGTGAGTGCGCTAGTGGGGAGCAGGGAAGTGAGGAATCGTCCCCCCAGGAAGATGGTGGCCACACGGCCATCATTTCTCCTCCGGGATTTTGCATGCATGTGCTCGTGCAGAAACACACACACACACACACACACACACACACACACCGGCGCTGGGTATGAATTTTCAAGCTGCCATGCCCAGGACTTGAACCTTGCAGTTGGCCACGTGGAATCGAGCACCTTAAGCTCCATGCTGCCTGCTGGCCCCAAGAGTACTTGTTTTTATTTGAGGCGTCACCCGCCCTCCTTTAAACTAAATCTATTTTATTAAAATTCTTAGGTATGTTTCAGAACTCCATGAACAAAACATCCTTTCAGATCATCCTCGCCTATCTAAATTTAAAGATTCTAAACTGAAATGAAATACTGCTTTTAAAAAAAGAGGCCAAGGTTCCTTCTACTATGATGCATGTTTTAAAATCAATAGTCAGTTTGATTAGGAAGAAAGCCTGGAGAAGAACAGATCTAAAGTTTTTTTTCCTAGAAAATGCCGAGATCAACCAATAATTAACATGCACACTGTATTTTACACATAATTAATAAAAAACACACGTTAGTGTCAGGCAAGTTTCTGGAATGAAAACTTTTTAGACTCTCCCTCAAATTTAGACATATTTCCTTGGCTCTTTTTTTTTTGAGAGTTTTCTGCTATAGGGCACGTGCACTCGCTGGAAAGACAGAGACAGAGAACGGGAAATAGACCCCCAGGGGGCATGGCCACGCCACAATCCCTTCTCCTCCATTCTCCTTTCGGGATCTTGGGCATGCACGCACACACGCCCGGCATCAGTTTAAGCCACCGGGTCTGGGACTCAAACCGCTGCCGACTACATGGGAGTCCAGTGACGCAGCCATTAGGCCATCTGCTGGTCTCACCCTCAGCTCATTTATAACTAGTATCTAAAAAATTTAAAAAGTCCATCAAGTAGCTTCCCGGAAACACACAAGGTACCAAGAAAAAAGTTGGATTGATGTGGAGCAAAACAAAACAAAGCAAAACCCAGAAAAACGAAAAACAAAGCATGCTGAGACTTGACCTTGAAAATGTCAGCCTCTTGACCTTGCAGGTAAATGATTTGAATTCTGAGAATGCCTTCATTAAGCCAGGTAAAAAGAGTCACATCCACAGAACGTAGAAAGTGGAAAAATACAAGACAGTTCTTAGAAGAAATCCAAGATCCCCCCTTCCTTCCATAACCACCAACTCAGCCCTAACAGGTGGGTGAAGGATGCCGGACAGACTGGGCCGCTGGTGAAGGGAAGGGAGGAGGATGCTGAATTTCTAGACGGGCCTTCCAATAGCCTCCCCCAAAGCCCATGGCGGCAGGATTACTTGGAAAGGGCAGAGATCCCTTTGTGAGGAGGAGGGGGAGGGCCAGGGTGGGCCCCCAGCCTGGGAGGAGATAAGGCACAATGCTCTGCAAAGCCAGAGAGAGATTAAGGATCCTGCCCCCAGGTCCAAGGAGATAGGGAAGGAGAGATGAAAGATAAGAGGGGAGATGGGCTGGAAACCGCTGGCTGCATCCCAGCTCTGAAAGCCCAGGGTTCTCAGTGGAATCTACAGTCTGTCCTAAGGCCCCTAGGAAATAGGGAGTGAGTTTAGATGCCAGGGATGACAGTGAAGGGCCAGTGGGCTTTTCCAACCCTCCATGGATGAGGCAGGGCTGAGCTTCTCAGAGGCCCAGGGGCACGGGAGGTTGCTCACAAAGTCTAAGAGCCTAGCTGACAACTCAGGCTCACCTTGGCAGGCTGGAAGAGTTGGAGTTAAGGGACCAGCAGATGATGTCATGGTTGTGTAGTCAATTGCAGTTTGAGTCCCGGACCCGGGGGCTTGAAACTCACACCAGGCGTGTGTGGGTGCATACCCCAAATCCCAAAAGGCAAAATCAATTCCAGTGCAGCCATCGCCCATGAGATGTGATTCCTCGCTTTCTGTCTCTCTGGCAAGTGCATGTACCCTGTAGCAAAAATCTCTCTTAAAAAAAAAAAAAAAGAGTTGGAGTTGTAAGATCAGATCCTGGGGTCGGCAGGTGGCTAGGTGGTTAAGGGCACTGGACTCCCACATGGCCGACTGCGGTTAAAGTCCCGGACGTGGTGGCACGCTTTCTCACTTTCTCTCTCTCTCTCTTTCATTCTGTCTCTCTCTGATCAAAATAAAACGAAATAAATGGGGGACCAGCAGTTAGTGTAATGGCTATGTCGCTGGGCTCCCACGTAGTTGGCCATGGTTCCAGTCCCAGTCCCGGTGGCTTAAATTCACGCCGGGCTCATGTGCGTGCGTGCCCAAGATCCCAAGAGGAGAATGGAGGAGAAGGGATTGCGGCGTGGCCATCCCCCCTGGGAGGTGATTTCTTGCTTTCTGTCTCTGGCTGGCTGGCGAGCGCATGTGCCCTATAGCAAAAACCTCTCCAAAAAAAATAAATAAATAAAAAATAAAAGAAAAAGAAAACAAAATAAATAAATAAGTAAAAGCTAAATAAAAGAATTCTAAAAAAGAAAAAAAAAACAGATCCTAAAATGGTCTAGGCTACCAGGAGGCCAACAAGCAGCAATAATCTCTCTTGAAGGATGGGCTGAGTCTTAGACAGGCTGAGACAAAACAGAAGCAGATGGGGTGCCCCATCACGGCCATGCCTACTCCCCTGCCTGCCAGGCTTGGGCCACAGTGTCTCCTCTAACCAGGATGGCCTCGCGTGTGCTCTCTGGAGGCTGAGACAGCGGGGATGACAGCTCTGAGTTCCAGGAAGTTGATGTGTTTCTTGGCTTAGAGTTCAGGCCATGCCTTGGACAGGGTGGCAACTCATGAAAGTCACACCCCTCCCGGACTCCCTGCGGCTGGTGCAGGCTTGGGGGAGCCCGAGCGTGTCATGCAGCACCTTCTGGCGTCTAAGTGGGCCCTGCACCATCGGGCACCGTGTGCTGCTGGGAAGAGGCAAGAGATGCACCCCTTGGTACAGGCCATGAGCACAACAGAAAGGAGGAGGCCAAAGAAGGAGACCACACCGGGACCCAAGATGGGTCTGTGGGGCCTCCAATCTGGCTGTCTTCTGAGCTCTCAAACACTCCCCACTTGAGGGGCATCCTCCAGACAGGAAGTGGTCTCTTTCAACAGCAGTCAAGGCGCTCCAAGATCTGGCTTCCGTTTATCTTGCGACCTCCCTTGATATCTACTGGTTCCCAAGGCTACCCTTCCTGATAAGTTTCTTCCCTCCAGACTGCCCTCCTGCTCTTCTCCCCAACGCCATCCCTCCTGGTCGCTTTCCACCTGGTGCCTCCCGATGCCCGCTCCCCAAAACTCATGGAGCTGGGACGCCAGCTCCAAGCTGGCCATCGCATGAATGATCCTGGATTACTGCATGCCACACGCCAAG